TTCCATGCTTCGAATCAGGTTTGCGATCAGGGGTGCCGGTAGCCTCCCGACGGTAGCGATAGGGCTTCTGGGATGGCGTGTTCTCCTTGGATTGTTGAGTCTCACCGGAGTCGAGATTCCCGTGCGCAGGTGTCAAAGGGGTCATTCTGCCGATGCTCATCTCCAAAGGCCTGTCCTCATCTGCAGAGGATTCGCCTGTCAAGCTTCGCTTGTGATTCCGGGGAGCCGCCTGCCCGTTTGTTTCTATGGCCGGGTTCTTATCAATAACGGGATTATCGTAGAGCGACTGTAAAAGGCTAGAAGACGATTTCTTGACCTCAGCCGTGTCAAACAAGTTGTGGATCCACGTAGCGCATCGATTGATGTGTTTCCAGCTGTCAGGGAAAAATCCGGCCATGTGAAGAAATCCATGTGACACTCCTGGTAGTAAGGAGACTTCCACGTGGTACTTCTCATTGAATTCCCGATGAGACTTTTCAAGCCCGAGCTCCTGTCGTTCCCGAAATTGGTGCAATTTGGCCTGGCGTAGCCTGCCGGCGAAGATGACCGTGTCGTCGACCAGTGGATCTCGTTCCCCTGTGATGAAGTAGGTTTTGGGAAAGCTGGCGAGAAGACTCTCTGGAGCTAAGACAGGCGATAAGAGAAAGTCCGTGCTAAAATCGGGCCGGTTATGAGGTCCAATGTAGAGGATGATCATGGCACGCATCATCTCTGGGGTCAATATTCGATCATGAACATATGAGATCATGGAGGACACGGCCAAACGAGTCCGGATCTGTTTTGGCTGATGTTCAACAAGTGCAGCTGTCTGAGCCGCCAGATTATCTTGGTTCAATTTCTCGGCAATTCTCTTCGAAGCCTTCTCTCCCAGGTCATCCGCCTTCAAGTCCGCATCAGACAAGACCTCCTGTTTCAGTTCTTCCGTAGATGGTCCAGGCGATGCAAATGGCGTCAGCCTCTGATAGTCCATATTCTTTCTCTGCAAAATGTTCTTATTTCTCCGGCGAGCGCTCTTATCCTGGATCAACGACATCTGCTCCTCCGTCATCCAGCTCTCAACTCGCATGTTTAAGGAGGGATACGCCAGTACCAGACCATCCGGGCGTGGGATCACATTCTCAGCCCCTGACTGCAGAATCATCAGGACCATCCCGACAGCTAGGTTTCCACCAGCACTATCCCCGGTAACCACAATACGTGGCCGCGTGTGTCCACTCAGTCCCAGGCAACGGCCTCGTGTGGTGATGATCGTGTGGTAGACATCGTAGCATTCGTTCAAAGCATACGGGTACGGATACTCGGGGGCCTTCTTGTAGTCTATACTCAATATCGGCATCTTGGTCTTCCCCGCCCAGGCGAGCAGTCGATCTTCCGAGTTGCGCGGGTCCATGGCAACATACCCACCGCCCGGAATATCCAAAATCACACATGTCTGATCTTTCAGCGCGCTCAGCGGACCGTCAAAATACAGCCATGCATTCGTTGGCTCGGTGTAAATAGATTGTTTAGGGCGAGGGATGCGGATGGCTCGAGGGCCATAACTCGTCAACCGGGGTCGGACCAACTTCTGAAGTGCCCAAAGATATGGAGTCGTTCCCTTGTTCCACGATACTCGCAGATGTTCCACGGTCAGGGTTGCGCGGACACGGCGCACCATATCATCTGCTTGCTCTGCCGCGAAGAGATAGTAGACTGTGAATACCAACGATGCGATATCCCGTAGCCACTTGGGTTTGATCCTCATTGCAGTCCAAAAGCCAGCGTCAAGTGCCGTGGTGACCCATGTTGCCCGGAAAAACGACCGAGAGTAGAGATTCGCCAGGGGTTCGGGGCTTTCGAGACCAAGAATCTTTGCGAAATTGCGGCAGATATAGAGCCATAGAAACACAGCTACGGTGGTTTGCCAGACGGTCAGTTTCCCCGACAGGCGGGACGAGATATTGCGGGCGATCGGAGGGCCATGCTTGCTTCCCCTATGTGGTATGGTTAGCAGACTTTCCTCCTTTCGTTTCCAACAGCATTCACATACTTGAACAGGTAGGCAGACCAGAATAGGACTACTCCAAAAACCTGGATCTTTCGGAATTTGGTTGAGGGTCTCCCTAGAACGTGATCTATTGCCTATCAGGTGTCTGCTTCGACAGAGCTCAAGGAGTGTTCATACCTATCATCTCTGTTAGGCTTTCTAACAAGCCACGGCTCGATTATTCTCCTGACTCAGATCGACGTTATCGCAGATGCAAGAACCAATATCACACTTCAGGATCATAGAGTCAGTTGGCGAGGAAAAAAGGAAGGCAGAGGCAGAGGTACAGCTTCCTGATCGTCCTATAAGATAAATAAAGAAACAAAGCGCCTCTCTTGTCCTGCCATCCTACAGAATTAGGTAGTCAAAGAAGTGTGGAGACCCCAGAATCATTGTCGATAAATGGGGTATTGCAGACACTAGTATCTTCAAATGCTGCATGAGGAGAGTGGGGCAGTGACGCGACAAACAATTATTACAAACCGCAGGAATTGAAAGAATCTGCGGCATCCAGCAGTCTGGCGCTGACGATGTTTGTTCCTGGGGATCCATTTGGAGGATAGTGGATGGGTTGGCGCAATAATGGTCAGTAGGCAGGCTGCTTGGGGTGATGATGAATGGTGGACGAGGCCGTGACTGGGGCGGAGCATGTGAAAGTCTCCACTAGAATTATCGGGATGCTTGGAATGAGAGGGACTACCAAATCATATGGAGGTTGTTAGGTGCTCGTAAATGGGTCAATGGGTCAAGGCCATTTCAATGTGGTTGATTAAAGAGAACCCATGGTTGTCTAAGACTTGGTTGTGGGTTGTGGATGGCCATCACATGTCAAACCCTCCACAACCCGTGACGCTATCGGTTGATGCAGGCTAAGTCAGACAGGCAACTTGGCCAGGCATCCTAGGCAAATAATATGTCAAGAGAACATCATGTCTATTATATTCCGAGCCATTCGTCATCATTCATGCATGAAGCATCTATATTCTCCGGCAGTAGTCCCGCCCATGTGTGACTTGCCAGTCACAAAGCCAGACTTCGAAGACCATACTGACGAAGCCAGCAATGCAGATACCTGCTGCATCGCTGACTGTTGTCGCTCCTAGTGAGAATTCGCGCTCTTCCTTTGGCACACGATCTCCGATTTCGGCGAATGTGTTGACATAGACCAAACCGCCCAATAACCCCTCCCAGAAGATGATTACAAAAATGATATACACACTGGGGATGAAGTTGAAAACGGCGTGAAGGGTCAATAGTACCAAGTTCAGAATCTGCAGGAAAGACGGGACGTAGAGGTCGTGGATACGGAAGAAGGGCGTGGAGGATCGAGAAATAAAGACCCCGACCTGGTAGATCGCGTTGTATGCTGGATAGAAGGCACGGAAATGCGCAAAAGGCGATTCGTCAAGCGGAAAGAGCAGTGTCGGAGACACTCCTTGATTTATTGTATACTCCGCGACGTAGACCAGAAGTAATGGAAGCATACTAACGTTTGGATGTCAGCGTGGGAGCAATCGTCGCCATTCAACTCTTCTACTTACAATGGGAAGAAAAGACCCCGGACACGTTTCAAGTCCGCTTTGAAACGCTGCCAACCGCCTTTTTCGCTCTGAGTGGAAAGATTCAAAGCTCCCAGAAGTCGTTCCCCTTCATCAAAAATCACGTCACGGTCGCCCTCCATGAATGCGCGTTCCTCCGCGAGTTCTTCCCTTTCCTCGACGGCACGGTACCCGGCGTATGCAGCCGAAACAGGCTGCAGAGGAGATCTGGGCAGTACCATGAAAAAGCTGACTACCATGACCGCTGGCAGACATGAAGATGCCAACAGAGTGGCCTTCACACTGAGACCCAACGAGGTAGTGGCCAGGGCGTATGCACCAGCTCCAACCAGACCAGCCGCGCCTGTTCCACTGCCCCAGGCAGCCAGACTGAAAGGCCCATAGAAATGTGTCAATCCAACGAAGCTCAGCTCTCCACCTCCGCTGGACAAGCTAGCCAGCACAATACCAGCAAGTTTAGTGGCTATCGTCCCGCCATCGGTATATGGAGGGCTCAGCGCAACTAGGAGCATGCCAATGGCAGAGAGGAAGACGAATATGATGATTCGCACGGGGTATGGCACCATATGGATGAAATACGGGGCGATCAGTTTCGTAGCGAACGACGGTATCACGTCCGCTAGAAGGACGACTCCCTTGGGGACACTGGGCCCGACCAGATCGAGGGCGGCAGACAGGATAACAACATACAAGACATTATTGATTAGGCCTATGATGATCAGGTAAAGCGCATAATTGTTAGCGCTAAGGAATATTTCAATCTATGGGACAGTCTCGGTTCGTATTGACTCACCAAAGAGCCAAAAGGCGACGCAGACGCGAGGATCCGCGCCGCTGAACAAGGCACGGAATCTTTGGCAGAACTGAGCCCATGATGAGGATGGGGCACCAGGAAGAGGCAGCATAGGTTGTTCCTCTGTATCGGCAGCAGCAGGCATAACCAAGTGAAACGAGTGAGGTAGTTTAGTATGTTACAAGTCGATAGATAATTCTATGAGACACCATATACATCCATCACTCTGAATGTACAAAAAAGAGGCGGCTCAATTTTCCGATCGCATCAATCAAGAAATCATTGCATCGCCTGTCTTCGACAACTGGTAAAGGGCGTCAAGTCGATGCGGTCATGATAAGAATGGCAGCTGGTCTCGTGACCAGAGCCTGGTGCCTTATTGCCTGAGAAGCACCAGGCATCACCAGAGTAGCCATAGTCATCAACGAGATAATTATCTTCAAAGTTGGATCGAGTGCTTTGGCAGATGTCCACGAAACTACGCTTGCTTTTATCTATCTATATGAGAAAATAAATAATTAAAACCATTATTCTTGGCTGCAATGAAACAAAAAAGGAGTCAGTCTATGGGCAGAATAGTGGTATAGCGAAAGTAAAGCAATCTCAACTACTCAGCAATCACCTATGCATTTGTGAAAAGAGCATCGAATGTCTGCTCCAAGATCTTCAGGGATGTCTTGATCTGCTCCTCGGTAATAGTCAAAGGAGGAACGAAGCGAAGACACCCTTCACCAGCAGTAATGATCAGCAGTCCTCGCTCACGAGCTGCGGTGATCAGGTCCGACGCTTTGGCTGTGTGCACCTTGGACAGCTGAACGCCCAGGATCAAACCACGGCCGCGAATCTCAGAGATAACACCGGGATACTTCTTCTGAAGGCTCTGGAATCCAGACACAAACAAAGAGGACTTGGCTTCTACAGACTTTTGCAACTCCGGCGAGGCGAGGCGCTCGACGATGTGATGAGCAACCCGGCACGCGAGCGGGTTGCCTCCGAAAGTAGTGCCATGATCACCTGTCTTAATGTGCTCCGCAACAGTCTTGCCAGATATTATGGTAGCGCCAATGGGGATACCATTACCGAGAGCTTTGGCCGTGGTGAGGATATCAGGGTGGGCGGCTTCGCCCGATGCAGGCTTCAGTGAGGTGTGAGCATGAGCCCAGAACGAGCCGGTTCGAGATAGACCACATTGAATTTCATCAAAGATGAGCACAGCTCCAACCTCATCACACCGCTTGCGAAGAGCCGCAAGGAACTCAGGAGTCGCGGTATTAACACCGCCTTCTCCTTGGATAGGCTCCACAATAACACCACAAGTCTTGTCCGTGATGAGCTCCTGAAGTTGCTTAATGTCATTGTAGTTGCCGTACTTGAAGCCGGGCACCATAGGTGAGAAAGGAGTCTGATACTTGGGGTTGGGTGTAGCGGAGAGGGCTCCCATCGTGCGGCCGTGGAAAGAGTTGTGGAAGGAGACGAATTCGTGTTTGGCTCCAGAGGGATCAAGAGACCGACCAACCTTACGAGCAAACTTTATGGCAGCCTCGTTCGCCTCGGTTCCAGAGTTAGAGATGAAGACTTGGGAAGCGTCGCGCATTGCGCCGGATTCGTGAGTCAATGCAATCAACAGTTTGCTAAGGGCACCAGTCCAGGCATTATGGTAGAGGTTCGAGGCGTGGATAAGCGTCTCGGCCTACAGAGCACAACATACGTCAACTATAAACCCTGAGTGGTCAAGCAACCTGAGTATACACACCTGTTCTGCGATAATCTTTGCGATTTCCGGGTCACAATGGCCGAGAGAGTTGACGGCAATACCAGCGGTGAGATCGAGATACCGCCTGTTCTCCATATCCCAAACATAACACCCTTGTCCCCTAATCATTACGGGAGCTGGTCGCACGTATGTAGGCACCATGTACGGGGTGCGCTCCCTGATGAAAGCCGCTGTCGCAGAATCCGCCGCAGGGTCTGGGTTAGGCAAAACTGCCTCTTTCTATAAAGATCGCCATTATTAGAACGGACAATAATTTTAATTTCATATGACCTACAGTCACCTGAGCCTTCACATCCTGAGGAGCATTGGATGTTTGCGTCCCTGCCGCTGCAGAAGCAAATCGTTGTTGGACCGGTGACTGAAATCCAGGAGCCAGTCGCTTTGTGAGAGGCAGCCGCCGCGAAGCCACACGCATGAAAGTCATTGTGGGCAGCAGTGACACTAGAAGACTGAGAATTAAAGGTGGCTGAAGCAATTGACTCGGGAAAAGACTGAATAAATAGGACTCAGAGAAGGAGAGTCAAGAGTCATAAAGTTGACGACGGTGACTGTGACTGTGATGGACCCAGGAAAATGCCGCGATATCGGGCGGGCCGCTTATCGGTCAAAACTTACGCAGTGGAAATGACTCGATGCCATCTCCGCCACTCCGCATTTCCACTAGTTTTCACATATCCTTGACCTCTTGCCTGACACATCTTGCATCTCTCCGACAAGAAACATCATGGCGCTTTTCTTCGTACCTCGTCGGGTATTTGTACCCTCCAGCTCTAGTCTCAGAGTCTCCTCCCGATCCTTCTCACGTTACTCCGTTCTCCGGAACGACAAGCCGGCTTTCGCATTCGGCCGAGGCCCAGCTCCTCCAAGACTACCGAAGGAAGAGCAAGAGCTCTTTGAAGAACTTCAAAGACGATCGACTGGCGCATTTAGTACGCCTCGCGCCCCTCCCAAAGTCAACCAGTCACCACATTCCCAACCTGCCGCTGAAGAAAAGCCCGAGTTTAAGGCCACGGGCAAAGGAGAGGAACTTCATCCGGATCTGCGGCACAGTCTCAAGCCTGAATTCGAGGGTGAGAAGAATCCCAAGACTGGGGAAGTAGGGGGACCCAAGAACGAGCCACTGCGATGGGGGGCGGAGGGCGACTGGAGCTACGGTGGTCGTGTCACAGATTTCTGATTGTGCACTGGGATGATCCTACGTCCTACGTCCTACCCTTGCGACATTGCTATACTGGTGAGGCTTTGTATATTGCATCATTTAGCGTCTTGCATACTGGCTTCTTGATGGACTTGATCGGTGAAGAGAGACGCTGATCGCCCTTTCAATTGTACTATATATGAGCGTGGAAAGGATGTATGATCAAGAGAACTATATTAATAGTATATGACATGATGAACTACTCATTTAGAGACTCCTTGACGCTACTTGAAATATAAAACCAGTCACGAAGATGAAGTATACAATGCACAAGGCATAGCTTGAACATGGAAGCCATGGCTATTGACACTGAAAGCAATATAAAAATATAAAAGGCTATCAAACAGCCTTGTGTTCACTGGTCCTGAATCCTCGCAAGAATCGCTTTTCCCGCCCTGCTCTCATTGAACCGGCCCAGCTGGTTGCTAATCCACGAGCCAATCTTAGACATCTCTTCCAAGTTGATACCAGTGTGCATGCCAAGTCCATGCAGCGTGTGGATCAAGTCTTCGGTTGATACGTTACCAGTAGCACCCTTAGAATAAGGGCAGCCACCGAGACCCCCGACACTACTGTCGAATATCCGAATGCCGTGTTCCAACCCCACTATGGTGTTCACGAGGGCTTGGCCGTACGTATCGTGGAAATGAAGTGCCAGGTCTGTGTTTGCAATACCGGCGGCCTTGAGTGCTTGTAGAAGCTCAAGTGTCCGTGGAGCAGTTCCCATGCCGGTGGTGTCCGCAACCGACACTTCATCAGCACCCATTTCAAGGAGTGTGGCCGTGATGTCCGCGACTTTGGCTGGTGGAACATCTGGACCTTCGTATGGGCAGCCCAAAGCCACAGAAACATACCCTCTAACCCTGATATCTTTCGTCTTGGCCAACGCTACGATGGGGCGGATCCGCTCGAGCGACTCTGCAATGGTACAATTGGTGTTGGCTTTGGAAAATGCTTCTGTTGCTGCGGCGAAGAGTGAAATTTCAGTAGAGGTTGGAGGCTTGGCCGCTGAGCCTGGTGTCTCTGCTGTAGAACCCGTCGCATCCATGACCTTGATGAGACTCTCAAGCCCCTTGACGTTTGGTACCAGGTAATTATAAGCAATAGCATGCTGCGACTGGGGTGGTGATTGGAGCAAATGTTCGCAGATTTCTGCAGTGCTAGCCATCTGATGAAACCCAGAATCAGTCAGTCGAAAAACTTCATACGCTACTTCAAACAGATCTGCTCATAATCATGCATGAGATKTATACCTGTGGCACCCATTTCGCAGGTACGAAAGATCCGGCCTCGATGGTCGTCACTCCCGTCTTCGCCAACTTCTCGATGAGCTGCAGCTTCGTCTCAAGTGGTATAGATTTCTTTTCGTTCTGTAGACCATCTCGTGGACCTACTTCGACAATGCGAACGTGGTCCGAGGTTAGCCGCGCTTCTGTCGCAAAGCGTCGAGCAGGTGGAGCAGCTCGAAGGGCAGAGAACAGGTTCAATCTCGGTCGGAAAGCCATGATCCAAGGGAATACAATATAACCAGAAGACAATGTCAGTCGAAGAGCTGATAGGGAATGCACGAGTATCCTTAAGAGAGGAATGAGCAGCTGCCATTGCCTCTAGACACTTTATCGAGCCGAGAATGCGGAGAAAAGCCGCTTGGTTACACTCGGCGACCCCACCTGATCCATCCGCCACCATCAATATTTGTGGTCCATCTTAGTCAGGATCGGAAAAGAAAATCAGCCCATCCCACTTTTGAAACGAGCAGAATCAACAGTCCATCATGACAGAGCCATTGACGTCTTCTGCCGCTCCAGAAACAAAGATGGAAGAGACTGCATCGACTAGCAATCTTCGGCAACCAAAGAAGAGATTTGTCGGAAGACGTACAGCAGATGCGCAAGCACAGAAAGATGTCTCTACAAGTTCTAAAGATGTCGAGTCTACAAGCATTCAACGAAGTGAGTGACCGGCCTTCTGTTTCTATGCTGATTCGCACTTGCAAACATAGGCTGATGATGCTTTCTGACAGTCGCGCCCCGAAAAACCCCAAGAACACTGAATCAAGTCCCGCCCGAGATCCTGGAAGATCCTGAAATCCAGGCCGCTATTGAACTTCTGCCCAAGAATTACTCGTTCGAGATACCCAAGACGATCCATCGGATAAGGACATCGGGCGCCAAACGTGTTGCTCTACAGTTTCCAGAGGGTTTACTCATATTCGCTACCACGATATCCGATATCCTGACGCAGTTTTGCCCAGGGACGGAGACTTTGATAATGGGCGATGTCACCTACGGCGCCTGCTGTATCGACGACTATACCGCTCGTGCTCTAGGATGCGACCTGCTGGTCCACTATGCGCATAGCTGCCTCATCCCCGTTGACGTGACTCAAATCAAAACTCTGTATATCTTCGTCGACATCAGCATTGACACTTCTCACCTGATCGCCACGTTAGAACGCAACTTCCAGCCAGGAAAGACCATCGCAACTGTCGGCACGATCCAATTCAACGCAACCCTTCACGGCCTCAAACCCGTGCTTGAACGCGCCGGATTCAAAGTTGCCATTCCGCAAATCGCACCGTTGTCCAAAGGCGAGATCCTAGGCTGTACCTCACCGCAACTCTCCCCCACCGAGATCGATATCCTCCTCTACCTCGGCGATGGCCGCTTCCACCTCGAATCCGCCATGATCCACAACCCTACCATCCCCGCATACCGCTACGACCCGTATTCCCGCACTCTCTCCCGCGAGACCTACTCCCACGACGAGATGCACACCCTCCGCCGAGACGCCATCAACACCGCCAAATCGGCCAGGAAATGGGGCATCATCCTAGGCTCGCTCGGCCGGCAAGGGAACCCGAACACCATGGCCATGATCGAGAACCACCTGAACGAGCGCGGTATCCCCTTCGTCAACTTGCTTCTGAGCGAGATCTTTCCCGGAAAGTTGGCGTCCATGTCGGATGTCGAGTGCTGGGTGCAGATCGCTTGCCCCAGGCTGAGTATCGATTGGGGCTATGCATTCCCGCGACCGCTTCTGACGCCGTATGAGGCGTTGATTGCGTTGGGTGTGAGGGAGCACTGGGATAGCGCGAACAGGGGTGTATATCCGATGGATTTCTATGCTAAAGAGGGACTAGGGAGAACAAAGCCTCAGCAAGCTTTACATGGGGCTGCTTGATAGTCACCTTCCGTCTATGATTGAAAGGCATGAAAGAAAAAAAAAGGTTACGATATTCGAAAAGTGACGGTTGTGAGAAACAAGAAATAATGCCGGAAATCTTATACCAAATGCCGAGAACGCCTTAACAATAATGCGGCTTGGTGAAATCGTTCGTATTTCCTTTAGATTCATTTCATGATGCCTGTGGCTAGCTTGTAACAGCGCTCTGGCACAGATATCCTACACATACACGATGGCCTTTCTGGAATTTGAAGGCACATCCCTTCCCGCTAATCATACATTTCATCCAATAACTTCCAATCCGTTCCAACAGCGTGTCATGGCCCCTTGACTTCATCTGCGCTATCCGTGTTCAAATCGCTCGTGCTACCTCTTCGAAGGGATAAGATGCTCTTGCTCGCTAGTTCATCAGCAGTGCGTTCCGCCGCCCGCCATCTCGTCACCGCTTGCTCGACATCTTCGAACATCTCCAGAGTGTCTTTGATGATGCCTCCTTCATCCGGTTCGGGGACTTGTGTGCTTTCTCGTGACCCACTATCGCTGATCATCGGGAAGGCAGGTCCGAACCCACGCTGCGGAATGGGATTGAACATGACGGCGTTAGCGAACATGCGAATCAGTTCTTTCTCCAGCTGTGCCGAGTTGACTATGGCTTTGGGGGGAATAACGTCTTCAGACTTTGGCAGCACTAGAACAGCGTTCTTGGAAGTCGTGCCTGCATTGGGAGCCGGGGACTCTCCATCTGCAGCGGGCGTGCTGGCAGCTTCTGTAGCTGCAGCCACAGCTCTACTGCCTTGATGGATGGACGACTTGATGGATTTCAAATCTTGCGGTCGATATATGAGATCTCGATACCCAGGTGCATCTCGCTCAGCCAGCGGCTTCGCGAATATTGAGGCATGCTTATGCATGGTCACATCATTCATTATGGGCGCTCCGGTTCTGGGAAAATTACGAGGACACAACACGAACGATGCGGACTGTGTCGGTTCCGGCCGGCTAGGCTCAGTCGGGACTGGCTCTGGCTCTGGGGCGTCACT